TCTCAAGACGACACAATGCCAACTACAGTGCACATCCTGCAATAGCGACTTGACACAAAGGGCTGAGAAGGAGGGGCACCAGCTTGGGGATTCTGGCACCAGGACCAGTGACACCAGGCACAGAAGGTGAGAACTGAGTGGGTAATGGGAAAGTAAGAGAAGGCCATATAAGGGACCAACTCAGCACCCGGGGCACAGCAAAGAAAAAGGCTTTGCAAATCAAGCCACTGTGCAAACTATCAGAGGAGGGGGGAAGGGGAGGTGGGGGAGCCAGGGAAGAGACCAGTTTCATTATGAAGGTCCTGGTGACAATAACCTTTTGTCCTCTAAACAATCTGGGCCTGCCAAGCTGTTCCACAGTCTCCAAGAAAGCATGAGGATGGAAGAGAAAAGATCCCTGTAAGGAGGCAACAGACTTGTCCTTAATTATGAGACGAGGCTTCCCAGAGCTGACATTCTCTCCCACACTTCCTCCCTGCTGCAGACGCACCACAGAATGCTGGCATGATGCTCCTCTGATGAGAGCAGCCAATTTTCCTAAGCATAGGAGATTTAGTTCTTTTGAGCTTCCCCACCATCACCACTCCCAAATCACACACAGACTCTTAGTGACGAATGTGAGGCATCACAGTTTAATTTGACCAATGCTCTATTGGGTCAGATTGCAAACTAGAGATGCAGCTTCTAAAATGCTCCGCTCCATCCTCTTGACCCCTAAAGGACCATCAAGGAGACACCAGTCCTGGTGGATGGAGGTCCCTTGCTTAAATTTGCCTCACAACTCAAAACAGAATACTTATGTCTAATCTTACCTTGAAGAAAAGTGGACCAGAATACTGTATCAGAAAGAGCCCTGGACTAGGAGTCAGAAGCCTGGATTCTAGTCCTTATTCTGACACTTTTGCATAGGTGGATGCTGAGCAAACCACCTTATCACTCTGAGCCTCAATTTGCTCAACTGCAAAATGGGAACAAGGGGGAATCGCTCCATACTTGGCAATTCAGCAGAGGAGTCAACAGTGAGCCCTCTGAAGTTATGCCGCCTGGATTCATTTCACAGCTTCTCCTCTTACTCACTATGTAACCTTGGGCAACCTCACCTCTGTGCCTGTTTCTTCATCTGGATAATGTTCCTAGTCCACAGGTCTGTTGTAAGAATTAAATATGAGGAATTCGGTAAAGTTCTCATCACAGTGCCTGGCACTGGGCTCTTCCAATAACTGTCAGCTAGCCCCATTACTATGATTACAGGGGGACAAGGGGAAAAATAAAAATTTCCACACCCTCACATTTACTACAAGAATTAAACATCTTTGCAATAGATGGACCCTTTATTTGTTAAAAAAAGTTTTTAGAGAAATGAGTTCACAGCCTAGGGCTTCTTCTGAAGCCAAAAAACATAAAGGAAGGACTAGATAAGGGTTTATTTGCATCCTTGAGCATGATACGCTCAAATGCTCACCAGACCACCTCCTACTGAGTCCAACTTGTAGTAATTTAAGGCTTTCATGGGAAAAGAAATAGGCAACAGAGCCTCACCTCCCTTTCCAGAGAATTAATTTTCCAGTTCTTCTCTTTCTATAGACAACTAAGAAAGGTATCAAATTATGAGCCCATCCTTTTTAAGTCCTAAAAAACATAACCGCTAGATCTGAGGCTATCCGTTAGAGGGTAAAAACATTTTACAAACATTTAACTTCATTAAAGTTGGAGGATGGGGGTTACATAGGTGGTGGTTTAAATTGGTTTAAACTTCCCAAGTTCTTCCAGCAAAGAGTAAAGGGACTTTCCTTTTCCTTAAGTCCCACTTTCAAATCAAAAGTAAGAACAGGTAGAAAATGCATCAAGGTGCACCTAAATCTCTGCTTGTAGCCAACGTTGTGAGCCAACAGCTGTGTTGGGAATTACACTGAAAACAAATCAGCAAATCATGTCTGACTGAAGCCATTCTCAGTCTTGTCTCCTTAATTATTTAGTACCTTCTGTGAAGTTCCAAACGATTAAAAATAGCCCATTTGTGGACTGCTTATCTGCTTAGGACCATGCTAACAGAGAAAGAGAGAGCGTGTGAATCAAACAGAGTAACTACTATGTGCATATAAAGTTGGATGTAATCTCTGAACTTATCTACATTTAAAAAATTATAAAATGGGGATAATCTTTACACATTTATTAAAGAGAAAAATGCACAAGCCACAAAAAAAAAAAAAAAAAAAAACAGCAGCAGATTAAAAAAATGCAGAATTTCAAGGGATTGGAGAAGAAAACACAATAAAAAGCTAACCTCATTCATTACACATTCTACTTACAAAGAGAGGTTTGAGTGGAACCTTTACGGCTTTTGAAAGCACCCTGCCCATCAGAGTGACGATGCCTACCATCTCATTAGGAGTGCTTTCCAAAGCTAGTAACAGCAAGTTGTCCCCCCCACCCACCCCCGCCCCGTGAATTGATACTAAGCATCTGCAACAAAGATACTCTTCCGTATGACAGAATCCTGGGCATGGTATTTACCAAGTTTGTTTTGACTGCTTAGATCTAATTTGCCTTTCTGGCATAAGAAGAACATACAAACAGCCTTGCCTGAAGCTCAGCATGTCTCAAATGCAAACTCATCATTCCCACCCTTCTCATCCACCTGCTCTTTTCAACTTCTGTCAATTACCTCTTTTCTTCCTTTCAGCCAATAAATAATTTCTGCCTGTCTACTACATGTCAGCCACAGGACTAGACACTGATGTCCCCCTCAGGGAGCTCACAGACTAGTTGAGGAGACATACAATCATCCCCCAGCATCTGGATTGGTCCCAGACACCTCCTCTCCCCTAACCATGGATACCAAAGTCAATGGATGCTCAAGTCCCTGATATAAAATGGTATAGTTCTTTGTATGTAAATGATATAAACATAGTTGTTATATTGTGTTTTTTAATTTGTATTATTTTTATTGTTGTATTATAATTTTTTATTTTATTTTATTATTTAATATTTTCTGTCTGTGGTTGGTGGAATCACAGGATGTAGGACCCACAGATACAGAGGGCTGGCTGTATTTAAATAGGTAAATGGAGTCATTGATGACTTACTCCTTACATTAATCCTGTAGCCTAAATTATTTCATTTCCTATTCATTTCTTCTCCTCTGTTTTCTGCTGCCATCCCTCTATTTAGCCCTTGACACCTCACAAAGATATTTCTATGACAGTTTTTCTTTTGGTACCTGAATCTGCTTTCTCTTCTAGTCTCTTTCAAATTTCTCTTAGGACAGCCTTCCAAAAACATTGTTTTCATTTAATTCTCCTTCCTGGGAATACACAAGAGCAGCCTATGGTCTCCCATAGTAAATCTAAATTACTCTATCTGGCTTCCTATCTCCCCTATAATGTTCCCTCAATACCAACTCAGTGTGTTTCCCATGGTCTCTCCTATCTGGCCATTTTCTTCACTGTCTTTTTGATCTACTCTTTTTGTTTATGTGTTTACAATCACACACAGGTTCCTAACCTTCCTGTCATCTTTACAAATGCTACAATATCCAGACCAAACCTCACTACACTTTTCTGAATTACACTAGCACTTGCTTTAAAGTCTTCTGCAAGAAGTGCTGATTTTGCTGAACGGATAAAAATGGATTTACAAGAAAACCCAGTCAGGGTTAGAATAATGACTCTGGAGCATTAAAACCCCTGAACTCAGAGCTGCAAATATGGTGAACACTTTCTGATAACTGCATTCATGTTTTAGAGCAGGGGTAAATATTTCAGGCTTTGTGGGCCATACAGTCTCTGTTGCAAGTACCCAACTGCTGCAGCATGAAAGCAGCCATAGGTCTAATGCAAAACAAATGAGTGTAGCTGTATTTAAAAAATTATTCACAGAAACAGGTGGTGAGTGGAATTTGGCTCTCGGGCCATAGTTTGCTGACCTTGTTCTAGAGGAAGAAGAACAAATACGGGTGAGGATCTTCTCTTTTGGTTGGCAAAGGACAACCAAAATTCCCGTAGATCAGCCATTTATCTTCCCCAGTAGCTCAATTTGTTCCTTTAAGACAGCACGTACCCTAGGAGTGTATCCCCAGCCAAGTCATCACCATGGGAATTTGGGCTGTGACCATCTGCTATAGCTATTTTGGTCACTGAAGAAGAGATAATGAAATCTACTACTTTGAGTTTGCTGGAGATATGGTTAGGAAAGAGTCCTCTCTCTCACTCTCCAGCCTCCTCTGGACCGGCTGGATGCTTACTCGCTGGGATCTCAGGGCATAACAGCAAATCTTCACTCACACTTTCATGTGCCAGGCACTGTTCTCTCATTTAATCCTGACATCAACCCTACAGTGTATAAGCACTTATCATTATAATGATTCAGATAGAAGAAATTGATGAGGTCTTAGTCAATATTAGCCACTGATCCACTATAGAAATGGTCTTGGCACTTATACAGATGTGTTTTGGAAATAAGACACCCTCTGCCAAGAGTTCTTCTTTCAATTTGAGTGTGATAAAATAATGAGAATAGCTCATTATCTCTAGTCTTTATATCATGACCCTTAAAAGGGTCTTTTCACTTTATCCATGGAAAAATGGGCTCTTGGGGTTAAGTACTTTATCCAACTTTGCTCATTTAGCAAAGAGTAACCTTTGGCCCACTCCTACGAGCCCCTCTACCTATTAAATAACCCTGACTTAAAAACATAAAGCTTAATGTGTTGTAAAAGCCCCCAAATGCTTGCTCCATGTGAAGCGAGGAATTAGGTCAGCTTCATGGGGTCCAATGTCCCTGAGGAGGGCCTCAGGGAAGCAGAGGCAAACCAACACCTGTGACTTGAGAACTGGCCCTCAGTGAAAAGGGCGGAAGTGGGCACAGCCCCCTGCCCTTCACCACAAACCCAGGTCTCTGGCTGCGCCTCCTGATCCAAATTGTGTCAGTGGCTTTTACGGTGGTGACGCTTCCTTTACACACATTGTGGCAGTGCCAAGGCAGGGGGAGGCAGTTCTTACCAGCCTGTCATATTAAAGTCCCTGTAGAGCATCTTCTTCCCAAGTTCCTTTCTCTGTACTCTCCTCGGAAACTCCAAATGTGTGAACTCATTTCCCAGCAAGTGAGGCTGCATGAATGCCTAATAGCAAGAAGAAAAAAAAGAGAAAGCCACACACATATTTAGAGGAAAAAAATAAAACTCAAGGATGTTTTGCAAATTATGATAGGCCATATTTCAAAAACAAGAAATTTGTCTCATATTTTAAGAGAAATAGATCTATCAGAATCTAAATAGCCATAGAAGATGAGCAAATAAAATCATGAGCTTAATTTATAAAGGGATGTAATTGCTTCCATTTGATATGATACATTAATGGTGATCAAAGACGAATATAGCTAAAGGCATAAAGAAAACAGACTTCTCTAAAGGTTCACGTTTTAATTCTAATCTGAGGCGGTTTCACTTTTCTGAACGGCATGTTGGTGAGACGGAGGTGAGAACGCTCACTCTGACTCTTCCCTCCTCGGCTTTGTCTGCTCTCATCTCACACCCCTAGTCATCACAGCCTTGCCTTTGAAACCCGCATGTGAGTCTCCACGTAAGCACGATCGCCTGCGAGCGTGGGTTGGGGCTAGAGACACTAGGCAGGAACTCTCTGTTGGACTCCCTCCAGCTTGCTCTGCAGTCATCTAATCGTGTCATCGGAAGACTGTTCCGGAACAGATGGCTTCTTCCCCTCCCCCAAATCTCTGTTCACACTACAAAAGTCTTGAGCAAACAGCCACTTAGGGAATGCTTTGAAACAACAAACAGTCTCCCTGTCACCTTCAAAATTCAGATCCAGCTATCCAAGAGATGAAATGCCCATGTAGGAACATCCCCACTCAGAGGACACACACCACAAGCACACCTGTACTACACCTTCCCCACGCCAAGCTGCACGCCTGCTCATTAGCAGTGGGGGAATGGATCTTCTCTTTTTTGGCAGGGAAAAGAATGGGCAAGAGCAAATCACGGCCTGGCACTGTGGAAAGGCAAGGGATCCCTGCCACGGGACAGATGGCCATGTCCTCTACTTACTGGCCACAGGCATCTCCCACAGCCTCTTTCCTAGGGCCCGATGCCAGCAGATCTCCCACTGATTTGCATGGAGGTTAGAGGTATTAGACATTAGTCAGCTAGAGCTAAGTTCATCAAAGGAAGCAAGCTGGATTGTTACCAAGCTGGTCATATTTGGCCAGATGTGGAACTCTGAGCCAATAATTCTGGGCAGGCTTGGGGACAGTACAAGATGGGATGAGACAGGACAGGAAGACCGAGGGTGAGAAGAGGACTTGTGTCTTCCTGTCTGCTGTAGCCCAACATGTTCCAGGTTTGATAGGAATTCTGGATCATTCTGAAGGGCTCTGAAACCCCTGCTGGGGGTGAGGCTTGGGCAGCTAATGGGCATCAAGGAAACACGAACACTGAGTTTTACAGAGAGGTTCCCCCAGGAAGCAAGGAAGGAAACTAATACTTAATAGGGCAGGGCAGTGGTATAGGCTTTGGGTGAGACAGACTTGGGTCTGAAGCTAAGTTCTGCATTTATAAGCTGTATAATTTTAGTGGGTTATGTAATTTCTTGAGCCTCAGTTTCTTTATCTGTAAAATGAGATTCATCATATATTTATCTCGCACTGCTGTTTTCATAATGAAATGTCTTTAACACACTTATCTTTGTTGTCTCTGCACATAAAAAAAATTATTGTATTCATCTAATAACCATCTATTACATTCCAAATCCAAGACACCATTTATGAAATGCACCATTATTTTATTACCTCTAAGAAAGAAGAAAAAACAATACAATTAAAATACATACAATGCTTTTTTACCACTTCAAATTTTTATTTTGCTCTTTTTCAAAGAATTCCTTTAGACTTAGACACATATTTATTATCTATCACTATTGTGTATATTTAATAAGGGATGTATAAGTGAAGTTTATTGGCTGAGGTTTTCCAAAACTTTTTCACATTTAGAATCCAATGGCTCTTGTCACTTTTCAACTCTGAATCATGAATGTTCATGATTTTCTACACAGTAACATCCTGTGTTTCATGAGAGCACTGGTGAAGCAGCATTTCTTAAATAATCCACAGCAGAACTACAAGCCTCAAAGCCACGGGTGTAAAAGGTCTTAAGCCAGCTTTGCAGTGATCTAGAGCCAGCTTAGCTTTGACTCCCACTTCGGGAATGTGGCTAAACAAGTCTGATTCACACATCCCCAAACCCCTCCGCACAGCTAGTTGGATCAAAAGAGGCTTAACAAGTGTTTCATGCTGGTCTGCAGGATTTTCCCAAGCTGTTGGACATCAATTCTGCAAGTTTGCTGCAGTGGGGCTCAGGACACGCTACCCCCAAATATGGCACCTTGGCATTTAAGAAAACAGCAGCGACAGGAACATCTCTCTCACCTTTTCCTTAGCCTTCTCCCCTGAAGTAGGTCATAAGACCCTCAATTTCAGAAGTACCCTCCCTATACTTAGGGGAAAGGAACATCCTTATCTCTAAAGACACAGGGAAGAAAGAAAGATACAACAATCACAATAGTACGTTGAACTTTCAAAAGGAGAGAACAGAACTGAGGTTACTAGACATGGGAAAGTGGGGTGAGGCACTAAGGGAAGAATTGGTAAAGGGCCACAAAAAACAATTACATTGTATAATGTTGAATATACTAATTATCCTGATTTGAGCATCACATATTGCACATAGGTATTTTCAACTGTTTCCCACAGATATGTACAATCAACTATGTTACAATAAATAAATGAATAAAGACAGGGACGTGGAGAAGAATCTGAATAAACAGGCATTGCTAAGTCCCCCTGCCCCTGCCGTTTACTGCCATTAGATCACACCCCCCTTTTGTCCAATCATATTTCTCCATGACTGTCCACTCTTTATTAAACCTAAGCATAAAAATACACAAGTTTACCTATTTCTTTGGGTGTTCATTTTCTTATGAAGGTTCCCATGTCACATAAAACTTCTATTAAATAAATATGTGTGCTTTTCTCTTATCAATCTGTCTTGTTGTAGGGGACTCAGCCACGAACACTGTGGTGGGGAGAAAAGAAATCTTTTTCTCCCTCACAGATGCTCGCTCCTTCGGCACCTGCATGTGCCCAGGAGATGACATTCACAACATGCCTGCCAGCTGGCTGACAGTAACAATCAATTGTAAATATCCCAATTTCAGATATGTTAAAAGGTGGGAGAAAAAAGGTGTGTTAGCTCTGATGAATAAAGTAATATTCATCCCCCACAGATAGCCATGCCTTTAGATTTCTCTATCTTAATGGAGATTTTTCTTCCTCTCTTGCTAATTGCCACAGCACAGGTGGCATGATTCATTTTCTGTCACAGTCATGCCTACTGTGGGATTTATGAGTATTCCATGTGTACCTGTGACATATTTTTATCACTTTCTTTTTTTTTTAACTACCATCCACAGCCTAATTGTAGGCCTCCTTCTTCCAGCACTTTCTATACTCACTGCTGTCGTATCTCTCAGACCCTATGAAGTTAATGATGCTACAGTAACTCCACCAGAACTAAGTACATGCAGAGCAAACATACAGTTGCTTAATGAAAAATGAGATGCTAAAAATTCATGGGATGCATGTAATTTGTAAATTCTATCTGTTGGTTTTCAGAGGAAACATTTCTGCTTATTAATTGATTTTCTCATGCAACTGTCACGAAAGTTTACATATACAGTCTTATATGCACATATGTACATATATTCAAAGTCATCGAATTATAAAAATGTTATCTGAGTATTTTATTTTTAAGTTACCCATATTCATGAATATTTCTACCATTGAACATGGATTACTTTTGTTTAAAAAAAAACTCTAAAAATTATTAGTTTTTTGAGAACTCAATGTTTAAACTAGGTTTTAAAAAAATCTTTGAGAAGAGCTTCAATGCTCTTTATTCTAATAATTTGGGGGAAAGCTAAGGTCAGTGGGAGGAGCCACAGGCAGAGACCTGGCTCCAACACGGGGATGTGGAAGCCCGTGGGTTTCCAAAAGGCTGGCATGAAGACACTTTGTTGACAGAAGCAGAGTGGCCAAACAACTTGGAAATCTGGAAACTTCTTAGGGCCTGCCCAGCACTCAAGTGACATGACTGGCTGGAATTACTTCATGTGGACTGGTCCGTGCTGGTGGAAGGATCATGTGAGTCTGCATTCTGGAGTCTGGAGTCCTGACAATGATTTTACTTTGAATTCACTATAATCAACAAACCCAAAGTTTAAAGTCTATAAAATGTGGGGGCAGGAATATTTTAGGTTGCTTTCAGCAATAAAACCTAATCATTCCTGACTGTAATTGTAAGGTACATGGGCAATTTTGGCATGGTTTACTCCACCACCCATACCTGGGCAGTTCATACATACGGATACTGCCCCTTTTCCGAGGCACGTTTCATAGGGATGCTAACCTGTTAAAAATGTGAACCCAATCCAAGAAGAAATCAAGCTCACATTAAGATCCCATGTCCATCAGCAAAATGAAAACCCTGGACAGTCTCTTAAATGTTCCTTATCTATCTGTTATACTGGATATATTTTAAGTTTTTCTCTGGTGATGTAATTTTGATTTATGCATGTTAGAAACATCTGCATAGTGATGCAAATTGGCAACAGAAGCTATTGGGCATATGTGAATACCAGCTACACTTAAATATGTTCATTATTTTTAAAACCTTAGCTACATTCCCATGCCCAACATAGCACCCAACATAGTAAAGGCTCTAGATATGTATTCGTTGGGACAATCATACAGAACATTCCGACCTGCTTTACATAATTACATTTTAGTGATTATTTAAACTTTACAAAATAACACAACATAGCTTTTAATCTTTTGGAAAAGTTAAAGTTAAGGCCCATGACATGCAAAAACAATCTTAGACACACGGATTTTGGATTTAACTTTTTATAATTTGTAGATACCTTTCTGTAAAACCAAATGTATGTGGGTGTTATACCATTTAAAATCTTATGATAATATTTCACAGTCCTAAGAATATCTAAATAATAGTGCTCTGTTTCTTCTCTACTTAATAAGCATGCAGACTAGAAA